GTTCTTCGTAAACCAGAAAATGTTTGTTCTTTTCTGGTTGCGAAAGGGACGTGGTTAGAAAATATATTAAATTATTTCGAGGTAACGAAAATATTAAATTATTTCGAGGTAACGAAATAATATTTCGTTCCCTCGAAATAATTTAATATTTTTTCTAACCATGTCCTTTAAAGGGCTCCGACAACTCATCTGGTTGATGTTTCGGATACATTACTCGCACTTTCCGACTCTGACATCTTGCAGTGTGTTTATATTATGGATGTTTTAACTCCACCAAAATTATCTTGTCTTTGACTTATTTGTAGTTATAGTTTCATAATAATTTATATTTTATTGATTACTTTTAGATTCAGTTCATCTGTACGATGGTTGGCAAACACAACCAATGACAATTATTTGTCCCCTGCTGTTTAGAAATAGGCCTACTTTCGATTATATACTTTAAGTTGAAGATCCTATAGGGCCTGTGTTTAAACGTATTGATGACACTCTTACCATGTAGCTATAACTTACCACTTTACCGGCCCTTGCTTTAGTGCATGGGCGCAGATCATAGGGTGGGGGGATGTCCTTCCACATATTTTTAAGAGAAATTGTTCCCCCACTTTTCGGCCGCAAAATGATTTCATAAGTCAAGAAGATGCCTGAAATTTTTTTAAATGAACTGCATAAATGACCCAAGTTTTAACGAAAGAGCGATGTACAACCAGAGTAGGCCTACATCTTATCTTATAGTCCTAGCAAGATCTACCGGTATCTCTGCTCACATACATCTGAATTACCTCAAATACAAGAATCCAGTGCGCGTGTCTTTATATAATTTAAAAAGTATGACAAAAGCGTGTAAAGATAAGATTGGTTTTCGGTACAAATACATCAAAGACAATGTTGTTTAGCTTTATTTTCTAGGGAACATCACAGAGATTAATTAGATTTGTATGATTGCCGAAAATCGCTGATAAAAAAACATGAGAAATTGGTTGGCGCTTTATTTTGCCTATATTGGTCATGATGATGATGATGATGATGATGATGATGATGATGCTGCTGATGATGATGATAACGATGATGATGATGAATTTTACTAGTATCTTTTCCAGTCATCGGCACTATTTCCCCAAATTTTCGCACCTCATGGTGGGCTGAGGTATGTGTGGACTCACGGCTTTGAAGTAGTTAAAAAGTAAATCAAATACATCAAAGACAATGTTTTTAAGTTTTATTTTCTATGGAACATCACACAGATTAATTAGATCTCTACGATTGCCGAAAATCTGATAAAAGGTCATGAGAAATTTGTTGGCTCTTCATTTTGACTATAATGGTGAAGTGATGATGATGAATTTTACTATGTAAGAGTGTCATTTCTTACCAACACAACAATAACCTGAAAAAAAACCCCGATTAGGTGAAAAATAGTCCAATTTTGCCTCAAACGTAAATGCTCACGGTTTTTGTCAAAATTGACAATTCCTACGAATGTGATCTACTGCAATGTAAATTAAAGGGTTTTGTTGAAATTGGATGGTTTTTTTTACCCTTTTTTCCAGTTGTTTTGTGTACTGTGGCGCCTACGGTACTGGTCATAAAAATACTATCCATGTTTGCAAATGTTACTTAAATCCTAATTTTTAGCTTAAATACTGTAATATTAATTCTGATGATAGGCCTACCTAATTACTTCATTATAAGCTTAACTCTGACTGCATACAACCACATTATCGCAATACATAGCTACACGTGATAATAATAATACGAAAATTCATTGATTTAAAAAAGCAAAAACAAAGCCAATTGAGTAGCCTTAGGGGAAAAACCAATAACGTTAAAAGTTCGTTATACAAAAATAAGTTAGCATATTATTGATTGATTCATTAAAAAAGTAAATAGTCCTGATTATTAAATTACTGATTTAGTAAACGGCAGCCCGGGACTATTCTGACTAACGGCAGACCGGTAGAATTTTGACTATGGAATATTAAATCGGATTAATATTTTTCACAATATATTCAACCCAACCCTACCTCCATCATCGGACTATATTATATATCGTGCGTTGCCATCAGATCGAAGATTAGTAAAATCAATGCGGTTATTGGACTGTACTGAATCTATTGTATTTCAGTATAAGCTTTGCTATAGTTGTCTGATCGATAGTTACATGATATCCATGGACCTGATATATCAAGTTACGGTATATATCTATTTTTTATTTTAAATGCTAAACCCGTAGAGTCCTAGAGGATCTGAAAGAGTGATTCCAACGAAACGTACTGGAACAGTGAGTGACCAGTGGCGGATCCAGGAATTCATAATATAGAGGGGGCCCAGGGGACTTTTACAGATGGAAGGTGTTGACCACCTCGGTTGTGGCTACATCACTAGGTCATTATCGTCATCATCATCATCATCATTATCATCATCATCAAAAGCTGAATTAAACAATATAGTTTATTTACTACGATTGATTTCAATAATTATGGTTAAACCTTTATTCAGAAAGAATTTCCAAACAAAATAATACACGTTCCATAGTGTAATAGGTATACAATAAATCTAATATGTCCTTTCCTCTTAAGTAAAGATTGTACTGCGCAATTCAAATGCAATTTACCTATTGCAAAACAAGAAAATAAGATCAAGAAAATTTTTTTTTAAATCTTGATTTACATTAGGTACAATAAGACATTGTATTACTCTACTTCAATATCATCTTCAGATCATACTGATTGTTACTGATCATGATTTTTATGAAGTTGAATTATCAAACTTCAACATTACCCTTTTAGTTATTTAAGTAATTCTAACATGACACTAAATCATGATCTAATCTTTAATCTGACAATTTTCTTCTGTAGTAATTGGCGCTTTTGTATAATATGATATCGAAAATCTATCTTTCTAAGGCCTCTAAATGTATGGGGCCTAGGTCAAGTCTCCTTACTAGCTACACCCTCCCACCCCCGCCGGCCCTTGACAGATTTACATGTTTGTCATTGAGACTTAATATTAAAATTGTCTGCTTCCAATGGATTAATGAATACTATGTAAACTTTTACCCTCAGGACATAAATATGGGAACAAAATTATTTCAGACATCAAATATGTTATAAATAATATACAAACAAATTTTTATATAATCTCTTTAAAATTATTGCATCACAATTAACCTTCAACCAGAAGTACCAACTTTAACATAAACCATCCTAAAATACCATGTTAAATTAATTTGCTAAAATACACAAACGTTTAAAAACTTCCAATGAAATCCATGCGTACAATATCATAAAATACTGTATATTACCACAAATAAAGCAAGAGTACTGTGTCTATAGTGTTTAATAGATGTAATTGGTTTTTAAAAAAAGTCGGAAGACCTAATTCAGAAGATACAGGTAGGTACTGTATGCACAATACATCTACATGTATTAATAACAAGGGCCAAACCTATTAAGAAAGAATGATATGATTATAAAATTTGACTGCATCAATATTTTTAACGACCAGTCAATCAAAATCAAGAATCAAGATCACATGGTTCTGCTTTAATGTTTATAATTTAGCAATTTAGACTTAAACATCAAACTGTGAATTTCACCTGGTATGGGTAATCCCAAAGTTTGGAAAATCACTAAAAATTTTACAAATAATTAGTACAGTATATTTTATATTGTGGTACAGTACAATGATTGGTATAAATTGGTGCCAGACAAAAGATTCATGGCTACTAACATTCTGACCTTTGTGATTATGAACTTTCATATCAATATAAAATATAATGAAAACAATGCAAAATATCCAAGACCAAAACATTCTATTAAAAAACACCTTGAAATATTTCAAACTGTTAAAAAATGGGTCTGATATTTATCAGATGAGTTTGAGTATGGAATATTATGTAATTTACTCTAAAAGGTCATTTTTAGATCAATGAGGTTAGGAGGTGGCTTTAAAGTATATAATTATTTACAACACAGAATGTTCGCAGCTCGTCACCTATAAAATATACATACTCAATTGTGTTAAGGATTGCAAGCAAAATGATCTGTGGAAAAAAGCATATGCTTGTGGGTGTTTCTAGACCATTAATTCGACATGACATAACGTACATAACAACATCAACATCCACTTACTGTTTAAGCATATTAAGCTGCAGGTAAACCTACACTACTGGCATTATTATCCTCCAGAGGAAACCCACATGAAAGTCAATGAAACTTCATAACATGTAGAAACATTAAAAGCTTAAACTCATTATCCAGACAATGTTGTTGGGCATAAGTTAACATAAATGCCATATAATCGATGGTGTTTTATGTCAGGAGATTTAATAGGAATATGTTTTTTGATGTGTTGTCATACTGAATGCTCAGCATGTTCCCAAATGCTTTAAAAAAAAAATCTTGCAAATGATCAATGTAGAAACCAAAAACAAAACCTTCTGATAATTAGCCTGGTGTCTTAACCACTATACCACGATCTTGTGCTTAGTGGCTACTGTAGTGTGTGTAGCAACAGCAGGTACTGCAATTTTATTTGATGCATTTTGTGTCAAGACCTAAATGCCATGTAGTTCTAAAATGTATACAACAAATGATATTATTTTAAACATGTTGGTTGAATGTTTAAGAAGATATTTTACAATATATTTAAGTATTCAATGCACTCATAACTTAAAAACAATTTAAAAATAATTTTTTAATAAAAAATAAACAATAGAATATTGGGCCTTTTATTAAACTATTTTCATATAAAAAGAAAATGTTTAAAATTGGATTGGAATACAAAAAAATAAGTCCAACTGTGTTTCTACAAAAGTACTGTGAAATAATATAAATTATAAGCAGTTTATGGTCTAGGCCCATATAAAAGTACTCAGCCAGTTGAAGCATGAAACGCCCATGGCTTAACTACACTCAGAATGCTACAGTACTAACAAATTATAAATCATTTAAATATAATATATATATATATAAATATATACATACTGTATTATATTTATATGATTTATATAAACACCTCAGGATGTTTGGTGTAAAATGAATACATATTTACTCAAATAAATGCCTCTTACATTATTAGAATGTGTTGAGAATGATGTTGCTGCCATTAAATTTGTTCACAGTCATATGTATGTACATATTATATATATATTATATATTCTTTATTATATACATTATTATGTAGATTATTATATATATGTATATCTATCATATGCTATACATAATATGATTTAAAACATGGTAACATGGTGAAATACAGATTTAAATTGGTTGTACATCAAAATGATTTTTCTTTTTTCTTTTTAAAACTGATAATGAAGAATTCTTATAATACATTATTATTATTTTTTTTTATATTACAAGTTATATTGTAAAACTACCAAGTCATTGTATACCACTTCACCAAGCCTAAAGCTTAAAATTGAATTTTTTTTAAAGTAAAAGGCAAAAATAAATTCTAAAGTATACAATTTTTGGTATAGAATGAAAACAAATTTTACAAATTTAACAAATAACGTATGGTTTAAGTTTAGGGTAGTTCCATCGACTAGTCCGTACATGTTTTTATAATATTGTACCAAAAATATTTTGTACAGGACAAAATTACACTGCATTCCAGTAATTTAATTGCTACACATGCAGTGATGTATCTTTTCCAGAGGATACAACTGCTCTGAAAATGTACAAAATATTAAACAAATGAAAAAAATAAGTAAATATTCATAAATATTTTAATATTGATAATACTTTAATTAGTCCAGGAATAACATTAGTTGAAAACTATAGTTAGTCCTATTCTCTACATTTGAGAATACATACCTATTGACAAATATGTTTCAATAACAGCTCCTTTGGTAAAATTTGTTACATGATTTTTTTAAATCGAAAGATAGTAATCGATTTTTTATGCCATCTTGATGAATAATTATAATTTGAGTACATACATAGATGACAGTTTCAGGCTACAATATTGTAGGGGAGGAGAGGAATGGAGAAATCATTGAAGTTGGTTGACAGTTAGCCGTAGAGGGTAGTAAACACTTATGGTTCAAGAAGAGCATGCCACCTACAGACCTGGTGGCCCTTAGAATCCCGCATTTCATTCCAGTGAGCCAATTCTTCTTCGCTGCTGTTCTGTAGACCCATTGAAAACCAGCCCAAAGTCTCTTTGCGCTTCATGGCACGTTTGTTGAAGACCGTGTAAAGTAGCGTGACATCTGGAAGCTGAAACTGTGCCACTTGGAAGATAAATGTTTCTTTGAAAGTTGGATTTGGTTGACCACGACGAATTGAAGTTTTACTCTTGGTCATCTCAAACCCACTCGATGACATGAGTGACACTCTTACATATGAATCTGAAAAAAGGATACATATGAATTCAAAGTGAATCATTAATAAAACACAATAATTCATTTATATTTCAAAAAAAGCCTAACAGTATCTCAGAACTAATAATGTAGTAAGTGGACCAATATAAACTATAGTGACTAGCAATGACAAAACATTATTATAATGTTTCTGAATGTTGTGAATGTTGTGGTTAGGTTATGCCAGGAAAATATAAAAAGTTGTACAGTAGCAACTTTAGCAATGTTTAGTTGGAAATTGAATAATGAATATGTACTTATGGTTCTAGATAAATTAAATACAACATAAAATTATAGGCTTGGGATCTACAGAGCTTAATGTTTTTTAATAGCAGAGTACAGTAAACTACAGTGCACTTGTTTACACTGGAGAATATACATACTGTAATTATTTGCAGGACTAGTTATGCATGTAATAATTCAGCTTAAGATATAACCCAACTTTAAAATCATACAAATATAGCATTTACATTAATTTTTATTGAAAATAGACATAAAAATACAACTGTGAAGATTGAAATTATTCATTGCTAATAAAATATTCACCATATTGTAAATAATTTTTCAGTTTATTATAGTGTGAATTCTACCAGCAAAAAAATAACCCAATTTCAATCATGCAAAGAAAACAATAACTTTTGTAAATAATCTGATTTGATGGTTTGAACTTTATTAGCTTTGTGGCTTTGTCCAATTGAATTGTGCAACATCAATAAAAAGCAAGTTTTGTTACAGTAAAAGGTTTTACTCATACTGTACTATGTACAATTTATTTGGCAGATTTTTTCTAAATGTTTATGTTTAACAAACTTGAAAAGAGAATTATAATTCAGCTGTTATATTTTTAATTATTTATTATTATTTTTACAAGAACTACTCAAGGCATCTCAGTGAACACAGAATAAATCATACACAACATGCAACCTCCCTGGGAGAATTCCTTGTTATGCTACGATTCAGCACCACCTATTTCATTCCAAGTCAATCACCTCCTACCAGATACCATACCCATTTACTCCCGAGTAAAGAAAACGTAAAGAGCCAGCCCAAGGCACAAGCAGTGTGACAAGTGTTGCTTTCAACACACAGCAACAGGATTAAAATGTGAAAGGAATTTTTTTCCCCCTACCTGGAGCACGGCCAGCAGCTAAATTCTTAAAATGACTGCCTTTGAGAATTTCAACCGATAACCGTCCTGTTGTTGAATTGTATGAAAGCCCCACGAGAAGCTCAGGCATTCCACCATGTTGCATGGACTGTAACGATGAGTTACTCTCACTGTGTGACAGATCTGAAGAACTGGAATATGGAGAAGATGTCCCACTCTGTGTTAAAAGAAAAGAAATATTGATTATTTTAGGTGTACCAAGATGACAGAACATTGGCACCAAATCTTACAATGGAGCAGGTCAGTTAATTGCAGCTTCCCGAATAGCTTGAATAACATGACAACAGGTGGGGTGATGGCCTTATTAAGCAGCAACTTAGCTGACTGCAACTTCACAAGCAGCTTGGCTAACAGCTCAAAAGGCAGAAGGTCAACTGTTTACAGCTGCCAAAACAGCCTCATGAAACAACAGGCCGGCTCATAGCTGCTGCTGCAGTAGCAGCAGCTTCACTGACATCCTCACATGGCAGAAGCTCAATTGATTGCAGCTGCAAAAAGCAGTCTCATGAGACAACATGCTGTCTCATGGCTGCAGTAGCAGATGCTTCACTGACAGCCTCACAAAGCAGAAGCTCAATTGATTACAGTTGCAAAAGCTGCCTCATGAGATAACAGGCTGGCTCATGGCAGTATTAGTAGCAGCTTGGCTAACAGCCTCGCAAAGTAGCAATTAACTTCAGTTTCACAAGTAGATAGGCTGACAGTTGTATCAGGCTGGGCTGATGGCTTCAAAAGGAAGAAGCCCATTTGACAGCCTCATAAGGCAGCATCAAATTGGCAGCAGCCCTGTCCAGACTATCAAATTGTTTTTGACCAAAACATGTGACGTGCCTAAATATTGTCTTGATGACATCACATCATGACCATATATAGGCACATCATGACTCTATATGGGCTCATCATGACTATATATGGGCATACAATAGCTTTTTGTCGATGAAAATTTGAAGTGGACAGAGCTTTACAGCCTAATTCAGCAGCAGCTTGACTTATGACCTCAAGAGTTATCAACTCAGCTGATAGCAGAATCTGTGTGTATACATGTTACATACCAAAATATATCTATTTTTCTGAAACACAATGTACACTTACCGTATCACTACGGGCAAGGATTGGTATCGTTATGGTCTGTGTGGTTGTCGTATTCGTATTCAAAGATGAAAACTTGGTCACACATTCACCAATCAACTGTTCTTTACGCATCTTTTCTGTTCCAAATAGTCGGAACCTCATTGATGTACTTGCTAATTCATGCGGAAAAAGACGTGTGAAACGGAAGAGTTCTTTAAATTCTGGATTCTCGCCCTCACGAATCCTTGTCTTTGCTCGTTGTCGTTTACTTGGCATAAGGGCAAGTCGGACCCGACAGCTTCCGGGGCCACCTCGATCTTTTGCAGGAATATCTGAGACCTTAACGACAGTGATGTTCATTCTTCGTGCTTCCCCACTGTATGAAAATGCTACTTCAAGGTTACCTACAGTTGGTGGTGGTTCCCTTGGCTTTTCCTGCTTACAACAAAAGAAAAAAGAGTGCGTTATTTAAAACCATGAGAAATGACATGTGCAGTTTGATATTTGAATTACCATCATTTGTTATTATAATCATCATCATTATTTATTTGTTAATTTTAATAATATACGTACTTAACCCACCAATTAATTTAATAATTTTTTTTTAACTGGTGGCATTGCCTGAAAATTGGTTTTCAAACTTATTTTGCTCTCCATCCATTCAATTTGTCTTATCATTGTTCACAATTTATTTAACTAGACATATCATTTCAGCTTTAATAGGTTATTATTATTCAACTATTTTTTTTCATTTGTTATTAATTGTGGAAAAATGCAATAAAGGAACAAACAAAACTAGCTAAAATTACTTTTAATTTCAATACGGGCTGTTCATAACAGGATTAAACAACATGGAAACCAGATGCAATTAATTACAACTGTAAAAATTCATTAATTTTTATGAGGTCAGACAATCAAAATATAATAAATGGAAGGACATATAGATGAAATAAAAAAAAATTTAAACCTAAACAATGGAGGTAAGTTTCCATAGTAATAATAATAATAATAATAATAATAATAATAATAATAATAATAATATAAAATAATTTGTAAGTTAAAGGAATACATAATTTTGAACAAAACCATTTATTCATTGGAAATAAATCTAATGGCTGAGCAGTTAGCAGGGGCGCCGCAAGCTATAGCCATAATATAGGCGCTGGTTCGAACGGCACGCTCGCCTATGGTTCTGGTGGTAGAACAAGTCTTCTCGGATAAGGACTATAAACCGTAGGCCCAGAGTATACAATGACTCGTGTGCACTATTAAGAACCCTGTACATCCTTCGAGACGAGTAGGGGGATACCCCGGTGTACTGGAACAGACAGCCCCTGTGGTGGACGACGAGAGTTGCTGGTACCGGGTTACCAGGTAGCACAGACATGAAGGGACCGTTAGGGGCGAAGAAAGTCATTGATCGAGTTCCTAGTCCACATTTCAAGCGCCCTGAGCATCTTACATTAGATGGATTTGTGCGCTATATAAAACTACACTATTATTAAATAATTCCTTATTTGTAATTTTAAAAAAAGGAATGAATTTGAAAATATAAATTAATTATTATTACGTAAACAAATGCGGAGTGTATTCTGAAAAAAGAGAAACAAGAATTAACCTACAGAAGTTGTTCTATTTCATTTTTTTGTTTTTCCAAATTTAATAGCATGATTGACAAAGTTTCATAAATCTTTATTCCAGCAGTAAAAAGCACCATTCAAGAAAACCAATAAACAGATTAAATTTTAAAGGTACCTTCATATTTCAAAAGACTCCAAATGGAATATGAAAATTGTGTCAATTAAAGTAACTAAATTCCTTGTGTTCGACATCAAACAGTGACTACAGTATTTTCACCTTTAAATCTGTAGGGATAGTGCGACGGATACTTCATATTAGGCGGTATTTTTCAAGATATGTCCTCTTATGTCTTGACGTTTTCATTGTTCTATAAGTTTCAAACTTTCTTTGGTTTTAGTTTTGACATCATAATGTTTGTGGTGTAATGTGGTGTGGTGTTGATGATGTTACCAAATTTATTAAAAGAAAGCGACATGAATTTCTTGAAAAATAATAATCACAATAATAATAATATTGATACTAGTACTACTGTACTACTACTTGTGTATACATGTTACATACCAAAATATATCTATTTTTCTGAAACACAATGTACACTTACCGTATCACTACGGGCAAGGATTGGTATCGTTATGGTCTGTGTGGTTGTCGTATTCGTATTCAAAGATGAAAACTTGGTCACACATTCACCAATCAACTGTTCTTTACGCATCTTTTCTGTTCCAAATAGTCGGAACCTCATTGATGTACTTGCTAATTCATGCGGAAAAAGACGTGTGAAACGGAAGAGTTCTTTAAATTCTGGATTCTCGCCCTCACGAATCCTTGTCTTTGCTCGTTGTCGTTTACTTGGCATAAGGGCAAGTCGGACCCGACAGCTTCCGGGGCCACCTCGATCTTTTGCAGGAATATCTGAGACCTTAACGACAGTGATGTTCATTCTTCGTGCTTCCCCACTGTATGAAAATGCTACTTCAAGGTTACCTACAGTTGGTGGTGGTTCCCTTGGCTTTTCCTGCTTACAACAAAAGAAAAAAGAGTGCGTTATTTAAAACCATGAGAAATGACATGTGCAGTTTGATATTTTAATTACCATCATTTGTTATTATAATCATCATCATTATTTATTTGTTAATTTTAATAATATACGTACTTAACCCACCAATTAATTTAATAATTTTTTTTATGGTGGCATTGCCTGAAAATTGGTTTTCAAACTTATTTTGCTCTCCATCCATTCAATTTGTCTTATCATTGTTCACAATTTATTTAACTAGACATATCATTTCAGCTTTAATAGGTTATTATTATTCAACTATTTTTTTTCATTTGTTATTAATTGTGGAAAAATGCAATAAAGGAACAAACAAAACTAGCTAAAATTACTTTTAATTTCAATACGGGCTGTTCATAACAGGATTAAACAACATGGAAACCAGATGCAATTAATTACAACTGTAAAAATTCATTAATTTTTATGAGGTCAGACAATCAAAATATAATAAATGGAAGGACATATAGATGAAATAAAAAAAAATTTAAACCTAAACAATGGAGGTAAGTTTCCATAGTAATAATAATAATAATAATAATAATAATAATAATAATAATAATAATTTAAAATAATTTGTAAGTTAAAGGAATACATAATTTTGAACAAAACCATTTATTCATTGGAAATAAATCTAATGCGCCGCAAGCTATAGCCATAATATCGGCGCTGGTTCGAACGGCACGCTCGCCTATGGTTCTGGTGGTAGAACAAGTCTTCTCGGATAAGGACTATAAACCGTAGGCCCAGTGTATACAATGACTCGTGTGCACTATAAAGAACCCTGTACATCCTTCGAGACGAGTAGGGGTATACCCCGGTGTACTAGAACAGACAGCCCCTGTGGTGGACGACGAGAGTTGCTGGTAACGGTTTACCGGGTAGCACAGACACGAAGGGACCCTTAGGGGCGAAGAAAGTCATTGATCGAGTTCCTAGTCCACATTTCAAGCGCCCTGAGCATCTTACATTAGATGGATTTGTGCGCTATATAAAACTACACTATTATTATTAAATAATTCCTTATTTGTAATTTTAAAAAAAGGAATGAATTTGAAAATATAAATTAATTATTATTACGTAAACAAATGCGGAGTGTATTCTGAAAAAAGAGAAACAAGAATTAACCTACAGAAGCTGTTCTATTTCATTTTTTTGTTTTTGCAAATTTAATAGCATGATTGACAAAGTTTCATAAATCTTTATTCCAGCAGTAAAAAGCACCATTCAAGAAAACCAATAAACAGATTAAATTTTAAAGGTACCTTCATATTTCAAAAGACTCCAAATGGAATATGAAAATTGTGTCAATTAAAGTAACTAAATTCCTTGTGTTCGACATCAAACAGTGACTACAGTATTTTCACCTTTAAATCTGTAGGGATAGTGCGACGGATACTTCATATTAGGCGGTATTTTTCAAGATATGTCCTCTTATGTCTTGACGTTTTCATTGTTCTATAAGTTTCAAACTTTCTTTGGTTTTAGTTTTGACATCATAATGTTTGTGGTGTAATGTGGTGTGGTGTTGATGATGTTACCAAATTTATTAAAAGAAAGCGACATGAATTTCTTGAAAAATAATAATCACAATAATAATAATATTGATACTAGTACTACTGTACTACTACTACTACTACTAATAATAATAATAATGATGATGATGATGATGATGATGATGATGATGATGATGATGATGATGATGATGATGATAATAATAATAATAATCATAATAATAATCATAATAATAATAACAATAATACCAATAATAATTTATTATTATTATTACCATTATTATTATTATTATTATTATTATTATTATTATTATTATAATTATATTATTATACTCTGAGTTGATCAAGCGATAAGAAACTTGTCTGACTAACTTTGAGACACCACAAATTATGTGATAAAAATTTAATTATTTCTTTCTATGATTGCTCTCAGTTTATTATATTTCATACTGCTTTTGAGGCAGTGTAAAGTATGTGACAATATTTCTCATACTGTATTCCTTGATAAGCCTAATGTCGACTCATTTTCATAATTTTTAAGCATTTAAAATACATTTAAATATTTAACAAAATTAATTATCAATTTAAAAATGTGGATGAAATCATGACTAAAAATTGATTATTTAAATCAAACTGACCTCTCCAGCCTCGCCTCCCATGGCGATTGTGTCGTTTTCATCATCCTGGTCAAAAAGCCCACCTGACGAACCAAAACTTCCGCTACCCACAGTACCTTGCTCAACATCACCCAGGTCTTCAGATCGAACTATTTATAATAAAAAATAATTACAATTGGATATTAAATCTTCAATAATCTTGTCATAATATTGTACACAAATGTTCCATAGATTAATGATGACTTGTCACTACTGACACTTTGACACCATTTTCATTCACACCAAGCAATTCTTTCTATAGTTTCTTTTTTGTTTAGTCAGAAGAACTTGAAAACCCTCCACAAGCCATGTTCTTGTAATGTATTTCATTCCTGATGATGACATAATGTTGAAATATTGAATCCTGACAAGAGAGTGCATTTCGATACTTGGAGTATGTATTATACTATATTATCGGTAATGTTATTCAATTTTTAATTATGTTGGCAGACATGTTGTGGATTCCTGTAAATTTACATTGTTGACCAACAAACGCAAACCATTAACCAATATGTGAGAATTCTATTAGCACTCTATTACTATACCTCATTTTTATGCAATAACAAACACTAGAGCAGTTGTCAAAATATTTGTTTGAATAAATTATAGTGTTTCTTGAGCCAGAGTATGTTGTTATTATTCCATATACGGTATATACAGTACATATACATATATACAAATATATCATAAATACATATGCACATTCGCATACACACCCAAAATATACATAAAAAAGTTTGAATATTTTTGTCTTTTCATCAACACAAGTGTCTTTGATGCTAAAAATATCAGTATCAATATCAGGCATAATGCTCTGCCACTAACGTTTGGTAAAAATATATGAAACTATTTTATGTGTAAGCACACTATCTTTATATAATAATTTGAGTAGAAAAACTATCTTGATGTAACTTCAATTTTAAATTGTGTCCTTCTGTTGTAAATGTTTTGATGCATTGCCTTTTCCAATGTATAGCTCTACCAATGCTTTGCCCTTTCTTTTTTTTTATTTTGTTTTGCTGTCAAGATTAGATTTCCCCTTCCACGTTGAGTTCATCTATATTTTTATAGTATGACCTTTTATTATCCATTTTTGTGTATTTAATTCCGATTTTAATTTGACATTCATTTTAATCCAATTCAAGTTCTAAATCTTTTCAATCATATGTCCATATTAATAAAATTTGTTTTCTTTCATGTACATTTTATCATATTTAGTCCCAATGTTTAATAAATTTAAATAGAATGTGTACATAATTTTGATGTTGTTATTTGTAATAATGATTTTTATAATTAAATTGTAATTTTTGACCATTAAAATTCAATTTGTAAATATTATTCTCTTAATTTTTATGTAATTATTTATTCATGTACAGTTAATATTTATATATACATATAGGCCTACACACAGTATATCATGTTATTTTTAATGTACAAATCATTGCAATTCAGCTACTTGCTGCGAACGTGATTTTGAATGAACTTGAACTTGTACATGTTTGTTAATATCAATGAATTAAGTACTGACAAAAGCTGTGTGAGAGGCCACCAAAAGAATAATGTCTAGGCTAACATCTGTAATCACTGACGATAATACAAAAACACAACCGCTTCAGAGGAAAACAATTCACTAATTGACCAACAACTACTGAAGTGGATTTTACCTTTCTGATTGTACCCTGATCGTTCAGAACTTGTCCTAGTATCAATCGAGGCCGTACAATAATCTGAGTCATAACCTAAACCTGCTACTTTTGTGTGATTCCGTACCCATGATGAAGTATTTTCTTCAGATCGTTCGGCAAGAGTATATTCATCCAAGTCAATGTTTATTTCAGCTGCTGTATTAACATTTACAGTATCTTTCACCTTGCTGTTTTTTGATTTCCGAAATGAAAAAATGGCAAATCCATCAAGGCTAGGCAATAAGCATAAAGTTTTGCAGCAGTTCATGCATCCCATGTTTTCAGTTCACAATGAACAACAGTCAAATGCAGAAGAATAAAAGCCACAAATTCTATTACAGAAGGTAAAGCACTGTATGACCCACAAATTTGCATATAAAAGGCTTCAGAATCTAAGACTGAAAAAGCTTTACTTTAACAATGACAAGTTCTTTTTTCAAATGACTAGTATTCCCAATCTTTCCAATACAGATGACAGCTAATACATCATGCAGGTAGGCTGTCTACATCATCAAAACTGATAGTTTAACCACGAATGGTATAAATTTGAGATCATTATGCATAATTGCTAATACAGCAGGCTTATGAGCAGACAGCTAAATTTACACGTCGAATGACGTAAGTGGATGCATACTATATGGCTATTTATTTGAACAATAAACAAAATTTCAATAAACAATAAATAATGAAAAGACACATTCATTAAATTTTGAATTGAGAGAATTTTGATTATTTAACAAAATAGCAATTAATCCTACTTCGATCACAGGTTAAATTTAACAGAGGTATTAAAATTCTGATCAGGATATAGGCCTAAATAGTATCCCTTTACTTTTTACCAGTTTAGTCATTATTCACAAAGTATTTTTGAGGTCTCACTGCAGTTGAGGCAGTACAAGAATTGGAGCCTCATGTCTATAGATTTCCACAAATGTGTACATATTTTACTTTTTGCTAAAGATCCCCTCACAGAATCAAGAGTTAAATCTACTTAAAGTTTGGCTTTCTTGGTGATAAGCTTTTTTTTTTACTAAGTAGGCCCTATTGGTACTACCAGGCCAGATTCTGTATTATTTCCCTGTGTGAATTTTATAATTTTGCAGTTGAATTTTATAATTTTGGTTATTCAGATTTCATGAGCTGTAAATTGTACTAGATATTGTACCAATTTCAGCCCCTAATTTTTTGTGGGGTAACTACAAAAGAAAAAGCTTTGTTTGCAATTTGTTCCCCTTCTGATGCCTTGGTCTCGATCTTATAAACCTATCTTTATGGATATGTTTAAGAATTCTAAAAAAAATGAAAAAAGGCAAATAATTGTGGATTTTCCACCTAGTTTAAAGCTAATTTCATAGCCCTCCATCTTTATTAATCCCCTTGCAATCCATCATTCTTTATTAATCCCCTTGCCCATCCTTAAAATTCACTCTCATTATTTAGAGTTTACCAATGTTATCATCAACATTAAAACCTAGCATTTGATCCAGTGACCATGGGTAAGCGCTTGTATGCCTTTGTACAAGTTTATTATATTATCTTAAAAGACTAAGGTCATACTCCGGGCATCTGATAGGAATTACTGGGGCCTTACAGTAACCACAGTATACTGTATAGGATCTGTGCAGTAACCTTCAATAAAAACTTGGAATTGTTTACTATACAGTATTTAACAAGTCTATTTATAGGAAAAATGATCAGTGACCCAGAACAGGTATTTTTGATACAGTAGCTATTAATTATTTCTTTATTCACTGTTTTGTATTATTTTAAAAACGTTAACAATAAATACAAACTGCAGTAATAAAACCACAGCCTCAGGTGCCACCAGTCAGTAAGCATAAAAAAACGGAAATAAACATTTAAAAAAAATCAGATTTCAGTCATATGAGAACAAAATGTACAAAATTAAAAACACAGTGCCTGTAAAATATAAAAAGCTTAATACACATACGAGTAATATCAAACTAAATGTATCAAATACCTGTAAAACAAAATTGTGTTGACCAGATTTTGTAATCTTTTTGGTTTCAATCTATTTTAAAGACCTTGAGTCATTATAGGGTGAATTCCATGCAGTGAATTTCATGCAAAGGCATATTTTTTATGATTACTTTTTACATAATAAAAATGTAATTAACGCTCTAAGCCAGGGGTGGGGCATAGAAATGTGTCGGAGGGTAAAAGTGAATTTTTGGTTTATCACAGAGGGCCGCACCCAAACTTTGATGTTTCCGTGTGCTTCCAAAAAAACCTTAATGCACTGCTTTTATAGCACTTTATTCTCAGTTTTAATATTACTTTTTACAGACGATTGGTGTTGGGCCATAAAAAAACAAGGTGTTTTCTCGCCAAAGATTTTCATGAGCTGCAAAAATATCACTGTTGGGCTGCTTGCCCACCTGTCCTCCAAGCTAACACAGCTACACTATGTGAGGATGTATATAAGTTGTCTAATTTAAATACTAGGTTTGACAAGAACTTACATGATTGCACTGGCCTGTAAAAGGTATATAATAAAATTATAATTATAAAGTTTTTCACAACAATATGGTTGAAAAAAAGTGTAAAGTGACAATCTAACACTGATCATCCTTGCAGCGAAGCATCACAAATTATATTTATGATGAATACTGTACATTTAAACTGATCCTTGACATGATACAGACAAATTACTGAGAGCAGTTTAGCTCAGTTACCTAAACTGGTCGCAGCCACTGTGTGGAGATCTCTAGGTCCCGGTTCAATTCCCATTACTGCTCTCCTTTAGTTTAGGAGGGCTAAAATTCAAGTTACGATAGCGCACCGTCTTTCTAATGAGACGTTTATGTGTGACGTGTGCATTATGGCCAGTGTGCATTTTAAAGAACGCTATACTATTCGGAAAAGAAAAGGAGATTGTCTTCCGGTGTACTGCTCAATCACCACAGAAGGACCCCACTGCAAATAAGTCTCCTTCATACTTTTGTGGATTACTAATCCTTGGTGTTTACACCGAATAAATCCAATCCATCCTATAGTAGTTTGTTGAATGATCAGACAAAATCAACATTTTTATGTATACTTTCAGAAAGGAGATTGAAAAAAAGAGTAGTCTTATACTTGCTAAAAAATAAGTATTCCTCATTGCATACTATGTATAACTTATTTTTTTGCCAGACCACTTACACAAATTTTGTTGTTTTACAGCACTGTATAATTTTCATAAATATGTAGAATGATCTGACACAACTGGCATAAAAAGGTCTTTATGCCTAAGGATATCTAAGGATTTATCCTTAGATATAAAAGGAAATTTACATGATATTAAATACATTTTTTAGACTAACTGCAGCTGCCAACTATTACTTTCGCCTCACTTTTCCTTGATTTTTAATGACTTTTCTAATGATTTCAGAATTGAAAAGTATAAATTAAATGATGGACCCAAATGCAGATCATAATCTGATCCTAAAGCACTTACAATTATCCTTCTTTAATTTCTTATGTAATATTTACCTGATTCAGAATCATCATGAATAAAAAATTGTTTCAATAAATTTGGCATCTTTTCAGTAGTGGTAAATTCCTTTGAATCATCAGGAGTACTGTTTGCCTGTGTAACTTCCACATATTTTGTGGTTTCTTTGCTCTTTTTTGTCTTCATTTTCGTCTTCTGTTTATTCTTTAACAAATGCCTGACTTCCACTCTGTCATCATCTGATGCAATGCTATCCATACAGCAAAGTTTAAGGAACATTCGCGCCATCATAGACGGTAAAATTTTGAAGCTGCTGACACTTAAAAAATATACTAGAAATGCTTACGCCATTTGTAGTCACTAAATACTTTCACCACCATACTTCCACCATAGTTGAAGTTTATTTCTTAAAAATTGACTGGCATTCCAAAGTGTGATTTAGTTGATTGCAAGCTTACACCCTACCAGGCTATCTATCAGAGTGTCTATGCATGAAGCCAATCTCGCATATCTACAGGTAGGTACTGATTATAAGAGTGATCACAAAATTTGTTACTGTTGTCTAAATCTTAGAATAAAAGTCCCTTTATGTTAAACCATGAGCTAAAGGTATTGTAAATCTATTTTTATTGTCTCTTTTTGTGGGCAAGCCTTCTTTAGAAATTTGTTTTGTGGAATTTATGTGTATTCCAACTATTGTTTTATTGTGTGCATTACAAGCACAAATAATGGATTATTTTTTTAGAAGAGGTTTTCCCAACAATAAATTGGGTACAAAAGAAGGTCAATAATCTATTTAATACTATTTAGTTATACAGTCAGTTTTGTTTTACATAACATTGACTGTTTGGTTAGGGTGACTTCCATGGAAGGAGTTTTAGAATACCAAAGCCAAGGCCTACAAAAATCAAGTACAGTATATGTTTATTTTCTTAATGTACAATCAACAACAAGTACTGTACACTTGATAATTACATGATGAAAACATATACAGTTCCGTGTATAAGCCCAGGTTGAGAATAATCCCACCCCTGCCCAATTTTACGTACCAGGGTTTCATCAGGTAAAAGCCCTGTATTTTGAATGAGTACCAGAGAGAAATACATAAGGAAACATAAAAGAATTGATATGGAAATATAAGAAAGGAAAAAGAAAAGAAAGATAAGGAAACATAAGAAGGAAAAGGAAAGAAATGATAAGGAAACAAAATAAAGGAAAAGGAAAAAAAAAAAAAGAAACATAAAAATGGAAAAGGAAAGAAATGATAAGGAAAATAAGAAAGGAAAAGGAAAGGAAAAGATAAGGTAACATCAGAATGAAAAATGAAGGAAAGTTATGTGAACATAAGGAAAGGAAAGGAAATGGGGATTGGGAAATACAGGCGAGGACTGTGAGGAAAGGATAGACATGACAAGCCAAACACATAAGAAAAATTTAAACTGTGAAATAGTTGAATGTATAAGAAATCAATAATAAATTGGAAAGTAACCAAATAAAATGAGAAGGTAATTGAAAGAAAAAAATAAAATAAATAAATAAAAAATAAATAAATAAAAATAAAATAAATTAATTAATAAATAAAATAAATTAAAATAAATAAATAAATATTCATTCATAATGTTAACCTGATTTCCCTCACTGTTGTAATCATTTTTCTTTTATTTTGATCCGGTTTTTCCTTTCATTGTAAAGCGCTTAGAGGTTTCTTGCATTTTGCGCTATATAAGAATAAATTTATTATTAAATTTATTAATAAATAAGTTTATTAAGTTTGAGCCTGCACATCCCCCAAAAATTGCACTAATTTTCTGTTCAAGGGGGTGGGCTTATCAACGCTTATATTTCCTACAGTAAACCGCGAGGGGATAAATCTCCCACCTAACTTACACCCACTAGAAGTTTGAAAATGATAAAAATATAATCTATAAAACTTTAACTAAAAATGCATCAAAAAACACCTGATTATCTTTGATTGACATTTTGATACATCTACATGCATCTATATATTTTGGATTGCTTGCTTAATTATACTTCATAACTTTTTATATGTAATTTATCTGAGGCTCTTGGATAATGAACATAAATTGTTGCAGAAATCCTTGTTAAAACAAAAGGCCATTCAGTAAATATTATGGGTATTAAAATATTTACACAATTGCTTATCTTGTTTCACATTATTATTTATTGACTATTCTCATGAATCATAAAGGTAATCTGTTGACACCTGATAAACTACCAGTAATGTCAGGGCAGGTGGCATGAAAAATTGATACAGACCATGACAGTAATGTACCAATACTGCATCCACCCATGTCATGAGATAACAGTGCATTTAATGTACCTTTGAAGTTTTTTTGTCCCACCATGATGAAAATTCAAGGTAGAAAAAAAAACATAAATGATTTATAATTTCCTCCATTTAGTTAATCCAACTGGTATCAAATTATGTAAGTAACCTACAAAATAAAAACTTGGACCTTCGTGTGACAGTTAATAGTGCCATCTATTTTCCGCAATTAGTGACCACATCATTTCTACAAATCGTCCATCTCTAATTAGAATACACAAATGCTTGCAAACAAACCACACTAGCAAGACAGGAAAATTAGAAAAGCCATTAAGATCAGACAGAATAACACCATGAACAGAGATGAAGGTTATGAACTTCCCAATATATAAAACCGAAAGGTACACTGATAAATCTCAGACAAGATAGTATAGATACTCCAAGTATCGAAATGCTCACTATCCTATTGGTATTCAATATTTTGACATTAATTATGTCATCATCATTCCTGATGTATGTATTATACTTCCCAACATATACAATGAGATTTTGAAGGATACACCCCCCAGCATCCCTGATTGGGTCAAACTAAGTCGAAAATAGATTATGTACTGTATTAACTGTACACTGTCATCAGAAGGTTCAAGCTGTCACTACTACACTTATCAAGAGGCAAATGTTTCAAGTCTGCATTAAAGTTACTTTACATAATTTGGGACCAAAATTATGAAATTATAAATCATTTATAATTTTTTTTCTACCTTGGATTTTATCATTGTGGGACAAAAAGATTGTAATTCTAAATTTTCATTTGAATCCAGAATGAAACTTTTTCCTTTTATTAGAAAAAATTGGGTGTCAATCATCCATGTTTAAAGTCATTGAGATTAATTGTTAAAAAGTAGGATATTGGCAGTGGTGTAGCATAGTGGAACATAAATGCTAACAGCAGGCCAAACACATTACCGATTAATCAGTATATTATAAATCAGATTGCAGGAAATTTACCTGGTGGTTCATAACCTTGTTCACCTTTCACATTTGTTGGGAAAAATTCCTCAGTCCCTGCACTCTTAACCGATGACGATCTCCGAGAATGTTCATATTCTCTGTAGCTTGGAGATCGGGAACGCCTGACACCATCATCTGGTAAGTCCTGTGCTTCATAATGAAGGTCAGCAAGTGACCCCTTTCGAAAGTCTAAATCCTCAGGTTGTGCAGTTTCACTTGTTTCTCCACTGATAACCTGTTCCTCTTCAATAAGGAATTCCCCTTCGTTGTTTGGGTCATTTTTAATTTCAACAAGTGTATCCTCTTCATCTAGCTGTACATTGTTATTATTCTCTACATTCTCCTCCGGCTTGGATGGTTCTCTTTTTTCAAGACCAAAAAATGATGTGAAGGAGGATTCAACCGAATCCCCAATTGATGAAACAGTTGAAGTGACACTGTCACCGATGGAACTAATTTTTCCACCAACTGTTGAAAATATATCATCCAATGGCATGTTTATGGTCACAAAGGTGGGTAAATTTACCTGTTTGCGGACACTAGATCTACAAATCCAAACGATTACAAGCTTTGCATTGTTTATCCACGGAAAAAAAAAACCCTGCGTCACTCTGTTATGGTAAGGGTGGTTTGACAAAACATGCGAATATTCCACCGGTATAGGAATGGGCTTCTATGATGGGGTGTCAAAAATCCATAATTTTTACTGAGCCTGACAATCGGATAAACGCATGGAAAGCTGCCAGATCCTCCTGTACCAAACAGGTGTGTTCTTCACAAGCTTGATTCAAAGTGGACAATTCTTATCCAAGTTGTTGTTTGCCGGTGCTTTACTAGCCTGATTATACCAGCTTAGTTAACAGAATCAATGAGCGGGCAAATTAATGACGACATATTTAGCATAGAAATAATTCAATATTTGCATAATCAAAACAAAGCTATGATGGACCCTAATGACGCAAATATTTGTGAAACAATAGAATTTATCTATTGCAGTATACGCCCCTACAGGATGACAAGAGTTGTTTGAAAGCTACAGCAGCAATCTGTAGTGGCATTTCAGTAAGAGAAATGAAACTTTAAAATTGAAAGGCACTGGAAACTCCTCTGAATTTTACAGACAAGTGTAGACATCCAACATCACAAATTAATATTCAAATTCAAGCCAGGTTGATATATGTTAATTCCACAGTACACATGTTGAATGCATCCATAAACACACATTTTATGAAATGTTACCTCCCTGCAGAGGCTTTCCGGGATCACAGCAACTTGTATGCCTGAGTTCTCTCCAAGATAATACAGTGAAAGAACTGGTCGATGTTTAAACAAAGGAAACTCGAGTAAAGGAGAGAGACCAAATCAATAGGCAAGACATGCATTGGATTTGTGTACACTCAAACTAAGAATGAGCTTAAGCAATATAAACAAAAACTTAAGTGTTTTGTGTGTTCATCTTTCAGGTGTATTTATGATGTGTTATGACCCACATTAATTCTATATATATTTCTACTGGGGCAAAAAATTGAGGATAGAAAAGATAACATGGATAGACTTCCAACTTCATAATTGTTTTAATAAGCACAGCAAACTAAAGGAACTGCCTCAGTGTGATATCTTTACTGAAGAATAGAATATCTTTATAAAAGTATAGAAGAAGCAAATTAAGAGTTTCGTGGAATTGCAAGGGTACACGTTATAAAATCTATGAGTGATTATTAATTTATCGCAAATTAATTTAAAAAGCATTTAATTTAATAAGAATCACTACGAATAACATGCAATTAGTGACGTTTCAAACACAACCATTGACTTTCTTGGGTCAAGATGCCCTCGATGATAGTTGAAGTGGCTCATTTGTATCAAAAGAATTCCTATATCCTCTCTTAACTCAGGGTTACCAAAATCCACTCACACATATGTCCATCAGTCACACATTCAAATTTTCTGAAATTGTTAACCATGACTCAACACCAAGTGGCAAACCATCTGAGATATTTGGTACTAAACACAGATGAATTTACTACAGGCACTAAGGCACCGTACAGCTTAATAGTTAACAATAATTAAATCTAATTTAAGTTAAGTTAATTATGTACATAGCAAGGTTTGATATTACACCACAAACCAATGAGTGATATATATTAAATATTTAATTATGTCAACATTTATGCTATATTGTGTTATTTTTACCATTGCTTTAGTTAATTATTTCCTAATAATTGATTGGTATAATTAATATCATATTGATTTGATTAAACACCCGCTTTGAATGAACAAACCTGAAATAAACGCCCCTTCATTTGGATAAATGCCTCCCTCAAATAAATGCTCCAAGGCATTTATTGTTAATTTTTGATGGACCTTCCCCTTAACCTCGCCCATTGGATTGTTGCTAAGTTCCCACAAAAAGAACACCGTAAGCCTACGTAAACATGTGCGTTTGTGATAATAATATTAATAATAATAATAACAACAATATAATAATAATAATAATAATAATAATAATAATAATAATAATAATAATAATAATAATAATGGTAGTATAGTAGTAGTATTTACTATTATTGTGATGATAATGATGATAAGTATGAATTATTTTTATGTATTTTTATGTGCAATAGACAGGTTTTACCCAGCAAAAAAATTCTTCTTTTGGAGTTAAAAAAAAGTTTTTCTGATTCTGATTTTGACTCTCTGATTCTGACAAAATGTAGAAGTATTCTTGATTCTGTTCTGATTTGTTAGTTGTTAAGTTTGATTGACAATCTGATTAAGGTCCATTAATCCTAGATTATTTTTTCCTAAAATTTTTACCATGTGTTATCCAGACTTTAAAGCTAATATCATGTAGTCATGCATAATATCTGTGTTGAAGGTACTCTGGTTAAAGCTGAACCCATTTCGGAAAGCTAAACATTGTGTAATTATGGTTAATTGAAAAACTAAGAAAACTGAGTGCCAACTCAGTTAAACCCAGCATATTTTTATCAACAGACAGAGTATAAATAATGCCTATTATCATGATTATTGATATTATAAATTAGGCCTAATAATCACAAGTAAATTTCATATGAAGAGTATGTAAATTGTAAAGGAGGCCCTCTGGGATATACAACTGAAAATTTGGGTGAGTAGCAATGGTAAGTAGTATCATGGTATGATGTGGTAGGGCCTCATCCCTCTTTAGACCCAAAGTCAGTCTATATATAAGAATAATCTGGCTTAAACACATATCACATCTCAAGCATAAAGAATAAGACAATTTCTGAAGGTAATAATAATAATAATCCACAATTTATTTATTATGATTAAGAATTAACATACAAATTGCAATAATAATCAACCTTCAGAAGTCCTGATGCATACACATACTGTACATGATTAAGTATGGAAAAAAACCGAAAATTTAATATTCATCATTGCATTGAAAAGATATATTTTAGAAGGAAAAATTATATCCAAAAATATACTACTAAAACTATATATTGATATTATTGATTTTTACCTCCCAGTATAATGTCAAAATCCTTGCCATGGGTAATGAACCACAAAAATACTTTGTATTTGAATATATTTTGACACTAACTAAGATAAGGTGTAAATATCAATACAAATATTGATTCATCCATCCACCATAACATTGTTAATCACTACCACAACTACACCAAAACAAATTCATGTATTATACTTATATGTTATATGAAATTCAGAAAACCTTCAAATAGATATTGATGGATATAAGAATATGAATACAATTGTATTCAATATTTGCAGATGTATATACTTATATTATAATAACAAAAAAAAATAAATCCTGTAGATGTTATAAATCAAAAAATGAAAATTACTATTCAACAACTTACTATTTATAAAAAAAATCTTTTGGAAAGATATGAAATATATTTAATTGATTTATATATTTGATATTATGGAAATTTCACCACATAATATTTCTACCATATATTTTCTAACAGCAATCAAAATGGAGTAAATTATGTAATACATTATTTAGGTTGCAATAATTTCTCTAATAATATTTTGACACTTATAATTCAAGACTCATAATCACCAGTTGTTAGACACATGGATATTGATATATTTAAATTATCAATTACATAGCTCTAGGGCCATGGGAGTGGTTGGTGCATCGCTTTTAGTTCAGGCTTCTAACCTTGAGATTGATGATTCAATTCCCAACCTTTGTTCAAGGCACTTTTTAATGTTTGGTTCACTCCACACAGAATTGTAAATAGGTACCTGGTAAAATATAGAATTTAATGGTTTGGTCCACTGTGCAACAACTTTCAGCAAAGCACACAGAAAGGGGAGAGAGAACAGCCTGCTCGTTATGTGTGTTAATGTATATCAAAGATCTTATAATTACAAGATAGAGTTTTTTGTGACTTGCGCATAACAAATAGAAGCGTTGATGGTCAGTAAAAAGAAGCATACAAAGTAATCATTTTTGAGAGGGCATCCTAGATTTTATCAGTGTTGTTACGCAGAAATTGCGAGATGCACTATCTTTAGTTAACGATCATTGATGTCAAAGTTGAAAAATAATCACTTTTGCGAGAGGGTGCCCTATACTACGTTATTACAGAATGTTCATGCACAAATCATACAGAACACTATATTGTTTTTTAAGATCTTTAACGTATATTATGCAGATACGCAGATATGGGAGGGCGCCCGCTGCCATCTTGATTTGCTTTATGCACCTCCACTATATATTTCTCAGTTTGTTTCCAACACAATCGATAGTGCAAATGCTTCTATTCACTATGAATTTGCAGCCACAGGCTTAGCCTGCGAGTAGTCCGGTCGTCTTTTGGACGGCCTACAATTATTTAGGACGGCCACTTTTACCGTGACGGCTTGGACGGCTTGGTCTAATCAGCTTGGCCTAGCCTAATTGGGCCTGGTCTACCTTTAGCAAATTCTTTATATTCTTCAAATCTATCGAATGTTATACAGTATTAAACTAAAGCAAAATCAAATTTAAGTTTGATAAAAGCAACATTTATTGATTGAATGTACGTTGTTTTCGTACCAATATCTGGTGGGGATTGCCAAAGATGGGCATGGCCCGCCTATTGGCTCAGTACCACGCCCACTGGCTTCAATTTTGGACAGCCTATTTCGTTTTTCTGGCTAAACCCCTGTTTGCAGCAGACATTTCACTAACAACATATTGGTGCTGGCACACTTCATGGTGACTACCATGATATAACTACCATATTTTAATGAAAGACCATGCTCCGATTTCCCTTGCTCGCTACAGTAGGACTTGAAATATTCCCCAAAGAGTGGAGGATTGCTGCACTTATTTTGCAAGTTTGTCAAAATTTTTCCAATGGCCAAGAGCATTGGCACATTATTCGGACTCTCACTATATATACATAAAAAATGACAATTAATACTATTTTTACTTCCAGCTTTACAGTACAGTATGTCTGTTAAATGTTCTTGAATTATGAAAACTATGTTGAATCAAATGCAGGCATATTTTTTGTATACAAAAGTATTTATAATTTTTAGTTTTAATAATATTGCATAATAACAATGAATTCATTCATAGTTTTGAAGTACATATATACAACCCTATCAAAATTCTTGCTAAAATAAACTTTATCATTATAAACAACAACTGTGCTGAAAATTCTAGGAACTACATGGTAAACTGGCGACTGCCTAGCTGACCACAGAAGTTGGTCTTCAAATCTTTCAGAGTGCTAACTATATGAAATGCCTTTTGGCTTTTTCCGTAATTTGCTGCCAAAATTGCAGAAACTTGTGAACGCAGGTGCAATTAAGTTTTGATTGGCTATTAAGCAGCCTCATTTCATTGCCTTATTACCGACATTTTAGAGACAAGGTAAACGTTACTTAAATATTATTACCCAACATGCATCTCAATGGATCCGCCTATTTGTTACCTCCATTTATGTAAGAAGTACAATATTTATCCCATATGTTACTACTTGATGAACATAAAGAATCATTAAATAACGCATGACTTATAAATATATTACTAATTAATAGTGTTCAAATATTATATTTTTACTTTTAAAAATGTTATATTTAAACATTATATATTTTTGCTTCTCCATTTAATGATAGCTTTCCACTCGATCATCACAATACCTATTTTTAAGAAACACAACATTTTATAAATATTTTTCTCTTCTGGATAATTTATACTCTTGTTTTTCTGGCATTCTTCAATGATGATGATGATGATAAACCATGTAATTGCTTGTCTTCTATTGTTCAAATAGTTAATCTGCAAAAACAAAATATAGCATTTAATGGGATGCTTTAAATTCTTTTCTTATTAATACATCCCAAATTCAAATTCTGAATATATTGTTTTTGTTATAGTTTATAGAGAATTTTTAACTACAAAGAGAAAGAATAAAAACTATATCATAAGATTCAGAGGTAACATATCAAGTATACTGTAGCTTGTCTGTAATCTAAAAACTACACAAAAATAAAATATTATGGTTTATATAAATTATACAAATAAATAGTATATTGATGCTTATGTGCTATTTGTTACTTTAATGGCATTCAACATGAAACATACTATAAGCTACAAAAAAGTTAGGTTCCTGACACATTCTGTGGAAATCAACCAAAGCAGATGTGTATATAAAGAAAAAGAAAAGGAAAAAAAAAAAAAGTAAAATAACCAAACTACTCTAGAAACAGTACTTACATTAAATTCATGCAAAAATGTTGAAAAACGTGATGATGCTCTACAAATGCTACAAAAAATTGTGCGTATTCTTCATCAGAACTCCCAAATACTCATGCATTCCACGCGAAATGTCAAACATGTTCCACCACGTGCAGAAAGGAAACAAAAGGTGCAAAAAGCATATCTGTTCTTTGAAAGCAAAATGGAAAAAAAAACTGTCGAGATTATGTTGGTGAATTTGACTTTGAGCATTAATTGTATTCAGTTATTAGAAGAAGAATTGGATTGGGCATATCCTAAGAAGAGGGGTTATTGAAAGAAGTCATAGGCAGTGGTAGTGTCAGCAAGGTTGAAAGGTTAAATTCAACACCCTGTCATCAGAAGCCAATTTGCCAATCTTAAATTATGTTATTGTGATTATCATTAATCCCTAATATAGTGGTCTAATCAAAAGCATAATTTTATGACTTCTTAAACCATAAAATCTCTCCCCATAAAACCCACCAGATGCCAGTGGAGAAGTCAGCCTGCATAAAACTAAATAGGGAGATTGGTAAAATACAGTTCATATTTCTACAAGTTGAACATTTTTAAAATGATATATAACTTTGTTTGAAAATGTAATTTTACATCAGTATTTTTTTTGTTTATTTGATAGTTCAACACACTACAGAAAAGATTTTTCAAGAATTTCTGAAAGGATAAAGTTGATGACTATGTCATAAATCAAAGCTTCTTTATTAATGTAAAAAAAAAAAAAAACATTTATTTTGATAAAAACTTAAATAAATAATATATTTGAATAAATATAAGAATATTTTTTTTAATATAATCTAGATGTTTATTGCAAAGCTTAAAAATATTTAAATCTTTTTTCCCCACCCAAGATTACACAAAATCGGATGAAAAATACCAAACCACTAATAACACAAATTAATATAGCAAATATATACCATATAGTAGTCTAGTTCCATTTGTAAAATTAAACTTGTATAAATATTTAGGGAAAAAAACAGAAAATTCATTGGATTAAAAATAAAGAAAAGAAAGACAACTCACATGTAAACACATCTGGTAAGAAATATTTGAAATAAAAATAGTTATCATCCTATGTTAATATAGTAGATACACTGAATTTAATGACAAGATACATAATATGTATATTTTTATTTCATTTTATTTTATTTTATTTTATTTTATTCCTTTCAGCCAGAACCACAAAAAAAAAACAAAATCAAAAAAGAAAGAGGAGGGCAGAGGAGGGCTGTGGAGAGGCAAAAGTGGTACAAAAACTACTATCACCGGATATGGTGTGCCCCTCCAGCTCCCAATTCAATATTATTAACTAATATAAATATTAATTTTATCAAAAATATATAAATATATAAATAATAAAAAAAATTAAAAACATTTGGAGAAAAAACAATTAACAATCCCATGAACAAAATTGTCTAAAATAATGTTTAATTTTCCCTTTGAACGTGCCCCAGCTGTCACAAACAAAAGAATCTTTAATATCAATAGGTAAATTATTCCATATTTTCATGAAACGGCCTGGAATGCTGTACTTAGCAGAATCTGTATTAGCCAGTAAATGGATAAAAAAGAGTTTATTGACACGATAACTACTGATTTCAATGTTATCGAAATCATTGTTGTTAAATTCAGTGTATCTACTATTAAAAGATGGAATGTAAAAAGCATTGTTGAAAGAGCAGGCAAAGAGAAGTGATTGAGATGGGAGGGAAAAGAATTAATAGCATAAATGGTTTGTTTTTATACAGATATAGTTGCTCATAAAAATGTAAAAGTATTATATAAAATGTTGCGAATTATGACAATCTGACAGCTCCAATGTTGCAGCTATTGGTGCAATAGACACTTATCAAAGTCCATATACACATAAACAACCGAGTTATCCTTAATATTCAGGTAGACAATGACTTATTATTAGGAAAATAGTAAATCATATCAAGCCATATTCATACATTTTAATGATAAAAAACATTTAGAATACAGTGAAAACAAGAACCTAAAAAAACAAGCTATTTGCCTGCTGCATTTGGATATACTGTATCAATTTGTTAGATACCACCATTACTTGACTACCTGAAAGTTAAGTACCAGCAGACCTTTTGTAATTCAACTGACCGGTATATATGGTGCAGGGATGTGGGTGGTGCTTTTTGTCTTTGGTAGGTTTTAGGTACATGGTCATTTTAGTTTCTTTCTTTCGAGCATCTTGAGCATCAATGTTTTGCAGTGGACATGGTTTGTAAGTCTCTTTGTATTTGTTATTAATATTTTTATTACCATTTATCATTCATTCAAAACCCAATTGGACTGCTAAAAAGTATAACAAGTTCACTGTGTGAGAGCTCTTGTTTTTTTGTGCACTATTATATCAGTGCACAAAAGCGCCATATCAAAAAGAAAATACGGTATAGATAGCGCACAGAATGGCAAAAAATTACATAAAAGGTCAAATCAGTCAATGACCGGCCATGTGCTTTTTACTTTATATTTGTAAAATATATTTCAATCAACCATATGTTGCTCTTTGTTATTTCTCACATTTGTTTTTATTTATGTAGCCTGGAGTGTTGTTTGTTCATATTCAGCAGCTTGCATTCAAGGGTTTGATTTTTTACATATCAAATCTCCCTTAAACCAAAACTATGAATAATGTTAAAATTCCACATAAATATTTACATCCTGTTTGTAAAATGAGGTTTTATGAGATGAATTTCCACAATGTGTGAAATTCAACATAAGGTACAAATTGCATTTTTATGATGTAAATTCTAAGTGCAGCCAGTAATCATATTGTTTTGGTTAACCTTTAAAAGATCGTTCATGAATATTCAATTCCTGGTGCTTACTTTGAATTTTAATGCAAATGTATTATCTATTTGGCTATATGGTCATACAAGTAGGCCTAGTTGGCAATCAAATCTTCAATAGTTTGGCCAACTATCTTAAAAGTGTTTACTTCTGGTATAACTTTATACATTTCTTTTTTTGTCAGTAGCAGAATAGTTACCTTAGTAATCTAGTGCATTACTATTTATGTTTTCAGTATGTATTCATTTGTTCTGTTTTTATTTGATATTTATTATTATTTAAAATACAATAATATTTTCAGTTGATAATAGGTTGGAATATATATCTGTATTTGCTTATTAAAGGTAAAGGTAGAAGAATAACCATAACTTGCAGCTTCATTGTGCTTAATTTTGTATGGGCGTGGTCCGTGACTATTCCACCAACCGAACCCTGGAAAGGAGCGGCTGCCTTACCGCTCGGCCACTCGACTTGCCAAATTTTGTATGGGTCGAACCTCTCCTGGTGAGAGTGTTCCTCTATAAATCTTACATCTTCAGTTATGTCTCTTATTATTGTACCTGTTACAAAAATAATTAAAACTTCATTTGGAAAAAAAAAAAATTGAAGTACTAGAAAAATAAAAAAGGCAATTTAAAACAAAATGAGAAAAAAAAGTTCAGATATTTGCTGCTGTTTTTTTCTTTTCGATCCTTAAGCTTTCTCTGATTTTTATTCGATCCTTCTTCAGAAATAATTGCAACTCTGAACAATGTGATTGAAAGTGAAAGCTCACAATCTATACAGGTTAAACTTTGAGGAAAATATTATTTAATCTATTCTACAAGAGACAAAAATGGTATGCAAACTTCACTACTAATATTAAACTAAATATGCTTCAGTATTAATGATTATTAGAACAATCTAACAGATTAGATTAATAATATATATTAGTTCTCCTTTGCAATTAATGTTTGCCTTCGGTTAGTCTCCTAAATAAATTATTTTCACATTACCTGGTGCATACATCAAGGACCCTGAAGCTTTATAACGAATACTTTTAAAACCAGAACCTGTAAAATTCACATATAACATAAGAAGCCAATAATATAACATACAGTAACAACACTAACAACATCAATAACATTAACAATAATAATAATTATAATAGTGATCAATAGTATTAATTAATATTTAGGACAAAACAATTTTCTTGGAACACATATTTGTCATGGAACAAACTGATAGTGTCAAACCTAAAAGTTTTGCCTGGTTTGTATTACTTGAGAAAGACCTCTAGATTTCTATCACATGACCAATAATCCCTTAAAATTGTCTAACGAAGAACCTGTATCTATGTATAAGATTTTTCATAACTTCTTCCTTTTTTTTTAAATTTTCTTATCTGCCTAGATGTTTTGGGCAAAACCTTATTGCTGAAAAAGAAAACAATTTTTTTTCCTTTTTTTTTTCCTACCCTCCTCTGACTGATTAAGTTTGTTAAACAAGTATAATAAAAGTTTTGCCTAATAGGTATTTATAGATAATTACTCTTTTCCTCTACAGGGGGTCAAGTTACAGATTGTAAGTAGGAATCTGGGGATCCTTTATAAAAAAGAGGAAGCCTATGGCCTTCTACATGCTATAAACAATTATTCCTCAAATGGATATTATTATTTTTTCATTAACCTTTATATCTATTTTTCATCCAACTGTCCATAGGACAAATTTTCTTGGCTGTCACCCTACTCGGCACCACTGTGAATAGAAACAAATTGTCCACAAAGTCCCAAGAGCATCTTTTCTTTGTTTGATAAATGATTATTTATTAGATCTACAGAGTTATACTTTACCTATTTCAATAAATAAAGAAACAGAAAGCACAACATATCAAAAGGTTTACTAAAGCAAAGGTAAACATGTTTCATTAATTTATGATCAGTCTGGTTTTTGATAATGGCAGGCATGTTTGGATGCGATAATGATGTCATGCATGTATAGATGTGGCAATGAAGAACTCTGTAAATGTTAAAATGTTACATGATGAAAAAAACAAATTTTCTCGAAAACATGCAAGACTGTAAGACTGTGAGAACCGTTACATTGAACAAGTCACAATAATTAATAAAATAATGAACACAAAAACATTCGCTGTTAGAACAAAAGAGAGACTTACTTTCAGAGGGCGCACGAGATGCAGCTGCTACAGACTTCTTTTTATAACCGCTTACGCTAGGCTGACGCGAAAGTCGACCGATACTCAAGGACTGCTGGTATTTTAATAACATCTCATCATCACTGTCTGATGATGATTCATCTTCATCGTAACCATAACTTCCCTCTATGAAAAAAAATTAAAAGAAATAAGCTGTGAAATTAGGCATCAATTAATTACTACCAAAGTTTTATATTGGACCCAATAAAAGGTACATCCACCACAAATCAATCTTTTTTATAAGAATACTTTTTTCTTCATATCTAATATTACTTTAATATTATGGAATTAAGTTGTATTTTTGAGATTTTCATGAGTTCATTTCTTTCACAATAACAATACAATCAATGAAAATGCAATCATGGAAAATGTCAACAATGGGCACAGTCAATATCTCCAACAAATGCTTCTCTCGACTGAATGCTACCTTCAATAAAGGCGATGAACTTGTGACTATAATTGCCTTTTTTATTTGCACATGAAAACATAAAATGAAGTTCCTAAAACTACTGTATGGCTTTGATTCCCAACCTAATTATTTTAAGGTACTCCGAAAATCAATAGTGTTTACACATAAATAAGCACTGATTTGAGTTGTACGCGGTGGTATGTGACTATTAATGTGATCAATTCTATATAGCATACATATATTTGAGCTATATCATTGAACCATGGATGGAAGAAACAGTTAATTAAACTAAAATAATAAAAATAATAATGTAGCTCAGTTCAATTTTATTTAACTACAGAGGCCAAGATCAATACAGGGTTGTTTGCATGGACCCATGCATAATATAAAGTCATATGAATCATCTTAAATATGATAGCAGTCCAGAAATCTGAGACTGAAAAAGTTATATTCACATGAAGTAGGCTGTCAAGGCGTCTCGCGAGAGGTCACAGGTTCGAGTCCCGCTAGAGGCATTTTATTACACAATTTCTTTATTCATTTATTTACAGGACTACATTCGTTGAGAGCTATGCTACACGATGTATTATTATGTCCTTATTCGAACACTGTATTTACCTTTCGTTGATT